AACCTAGATTGCCTTTTCAATTTCATTCCTCTTTTGCGCGAGATCCCGAAAAGCGAGAAAAAAGCAATAAGAAGGATTTGCCTTGGATTTCTCAGTGTGCAGGTGATAAGCTTCTTGCTTCTACTCTTTAGAGGAAAAATATATTGAGAAACGACGGAGGGTTATATTCACACGCACACATTCATTTCTGGCGGGATATAGATATGTTTGAAGGGATGAAGGGAGCAATAGGCGAGGTTTCTTTTTTTTCAGATTTACAATTCTTTGGAAAAAAACGAGAAAGAGGGTGATGAATATGAGCAGAATTTCTGCAAAAAGGGGTGTTTAGGGTTTTCAGATGAACAAGTACGGTATAAAATGAAGAAGCGGGGACATAGGGTTGGCAGTACTCTAGACGTACACTTTGACCTCAATTACCGTAAAACCTCTAATAGAACGAACCCCCCGGATCGNCCACTTTGAGCCTATATATCTCACTTCTTTTGAGAGATATCAAAAAGTGGTTAACTAGTAAAATGTTTATCAGGATATCAGCAACATTTTACTAGTTAGCCACTTTTTGATATCTTTCACAGGAAGTGAGATATATAGACTCAAAGTGGACGATCCGGGTGTCGTTCTATTAGAGGTTTTGCGGTATCTCGGTTCCTATAAGAGATATAAAATTTTTGTCAACTAATGAAAGGTTGGTGATAATATGATAAACATTTTATCAGTTGACAAATTTTTGATATTTTGCATAGAAACCGACATAATTGAGCTCAACGTGAGACACAATATAATAGAGTCCCCCTTTTCAACTTTTAGCTGTCATCCAATTTACCTCGGTTACTGTGAAGGATATCAAAAAGTTGACAAATTATTGATCTTAAAATCAGTAACATTTTGTCAGTTAACTGATTTTTGTTATCTCTCACAAGAGCTGAGATAATTGAGCTCAAAGTGCAAGCATATGGTGGGCTGGAATTAGATCATTAGAACAATTGTTTTAATGCATTCAATGCAGTTAGAATGGTTTCTATTTTTGTATCCATTTCACTTATATGCTTGAAACTAGTGAAAATTACTCAAATGGAAAAATGTCACTTTTATTAATTGGAAAATTATGTCCTACTTCTCCTGATTTGATCTAATCAACCAATTCAATTTCGACTCATTGTGCAAAACGTAACAAAAGAGAAAAAACTTGAAAATTGAAAAAAAAGAAACTGATAAAAATGCCACAAATTTCAATTTTGTCTCTCTCCCAACATACATCACTTATCAGGGAAAGAGAAGGAAGCTGAATAAATATTTACCAAAAATATTCGTTCTTTCAGAATCACCATTTCTTGATATACATATACAGTTATACAAGAAAAAAAACGTGACATTCTGTACTTTTGGTATACCAGGTCATGAGATTATTTTTTCCTTTTTTTTCGATACTTTTCCAGAAATAACTGGACACGAGAGGTATTAAAAGTGATAAACCGGTTAGTGAGGTCAGAGATTCAGGTGATGTCATCATATCGGTCGTCATCATACCGCCCGTCGGGGGACGGAGCAATCAAGAGCCAGAAAATTGGAAAAAAAACGAAGAAAAAAGGAGTTGTTGAGTATGGCGAAAGGCAAGATGGCAAAACGGGGCAAAAACGGGGGGACACATACACAAAAAGTAGAAGACGTTGTGTATTTGGTTGGGCAGGAAACAAAATGAGACGACGCGACGGGAGCTGCCCGAGAGCAGTTCATGAATTTTAAACAGGCTTCTCAACTACAACAACTCTAACGAACATTTCTCTATGTTTTCCTTTTTGTTCAGAGCTCTTTAGGAGCCCTTGGAGCTCTCTGGGAGCTCATAATTCATATTGCGACGGCGGGACCTAACTTTTCCTCCCTTTTTCGCAACAACTCTATAATTGAGGTTGGAAAAAAAAGCGGAAGGACCCTCCACACATACCCCGACAACACAAAAATGGTGCCCATGGGAATTGGGGGAGGAGGAAAACGGACTAGATACACACACGGATACTCACACACAAATAACAATGATCTTTTTGGTCTTGGCGCGGACAGGGTTTTGGAAAAAACGAAAATTAGAACTGTTGGTGCTGAAAAGTTGGAAGAAGAAGAAGATAAGTTTCGAGTTGATGAGCTGGAGAGAGAGAGAGAGAGAGAGAGAGAGAGAGAGAGAGAGAGAGAGAGAGAGAGAGAGAGAGATAAAGAGAAAGAGATTGGGTCAAAGACTGGAATGTGACCGTTGGCTGGAAGAAGAAGGTGTAGAGAATGTTGAGGGCGGAGAAAATGGTAATTCAGGTTTACTGCCGCCTTAAGAAATAGTGGGTCCAAAAAGCTGCGATGCTCTCTTTACGGTGTTCGCCGTTTTGAAGATACCGTGTTTTCTCTAAGAAGCATAACTGATACGTGCAATTAGAGCTCAATTATCTCTGTTCTTTCAAAAGATATCAAATTTTTTTTCAACTGATAAACTTTCTATCATTTCATCACCAATATTTAAATAGTTGACAGATTTTTGATATCTCTGATAGGAACCGAGATGATTGAGCTCAAAATGCACGTATATGCTGTGCTTCTATTAGAGAAAATATGGTAAATTTCAAATACCAGTTTAAGGGTTTTTGAAAGTAAAAAAACTGAGACCTTTTTTTTAAGAAGGAGAAGAATACGACAAAATAAGCAAGACCACTAAAAATCACTTCAAAATGTCAATGTCTGGAAAGTTCTAGGAAGAGGTTCTAGAATTTTCGAAGTTTCCAGAGATTGGCCACTTCTAAGAATTTCAATGATTTTGCAGTTCAGCTACCGTACTTTCTGTAACAACCACACATGTGGCTTTGTTGCCAATTATCTTGGATTTATCAAAAAGTTCTCAAGAATCAAAAAAAAATTATATTCGCCAAAACTTTGACATCTTCTGTATAAAGTGCCTAAAACTTTAAAAAATCGCATTTCAGAGGAAACGTGTTAAGTTGGGAGTGATTGAATTATTGGCTACGGTCTATTAAATTCTGTAATTTATTTTAAGTTTTTTTTTTCAAATAATATGATAAATAATTTATCAGTTCAAAATTTTTCTATATCTCTCATAGGAACCGAGATAATTGAGCTCAAAGTGCATTTTCAAAGTTTTGACTACAGTCTATTGGATTGTAAATTAAATTTTCAGCAATTTTTCCAAAATTCTAAAAAAAGGGAGTTCAGAACTAAATATATGAAAATTCGTGTCCGAAACACTGGTGACTATTTCATCAGAACATCGGAACGAAAATCAAAAACTCGTCATCATCATCATCATCATCATCATCATCATCCGACGTGTCGTTTCTATCTCATTTCTTCTCAGGAAGAAGAAAAGTGTGCAATATATGTTACACACACTTTTGCCATACATCCGTATTTCTTGTGCTCTTTCTCTCTCATTTCTGCCATTGAAAATCTTGTCTTCAGAGAGAGCCCTAGTGTCTCTTTTTCCTCTTTTTTGTCGTCGTGTTGCCCGAGATCAGCAGTCATTGATGAACAATCCTGGAGATGAGAGACGCAGACAAAAGATTTTAGGTCTAAGAATTCATGGATTCATCTGGAAACACGAAAGATCTACCGTAGGGTTCTAGAGACAATTGGCAGTTTTCTAGAGAAAAAACACATGTGCTCGCTCATAGGATCACGATATAAGTTTCGGGTGTGTTCGGAGACGAATACCAGATGTGGGAGGTTTTAAAGGGACATGGGAAACTAAAGGATTCGAGAAAAATAATCAACTCTGAGCAACATCGGAGGAACTACTACATAAGAAAAGGGATGAAAGCAGAAGAAGAAGGGATTCGAAAAATTGAGTATCGGATTGCAAACGGAAAGGTCAGTTTGGAGGAGAAGAAAAGGGAAAAAAAGCAGTTGATAAGAAACAAAACAGGGTTCAGACAACAACGGAAATTACGCACTTGGTTCGTATATTGACGTAATTTGGAGACACCTTATCAGGAGGGAAAACGGTAGATGCTGAACCTGAAATTGAAGTGATTTTCGTATTTTTAACGAATGTTCTTTGAAGTGAAAAGTCGAAAGATCAGAAATAGGGAAAACTCACACTAGAAATCCGAAAAATCCAAAAATTCAAATTTCTGATAATTCCAAGAATTCAAGAAAATTTAAAAATTCCAAATATCCGAAACATCTAAAATTCCGTAAATTCGAAAAATTCTAAACTTCAAAAATTCTAAAATCCAAATAAATCCGAACATTCTAAAATACTACAACTTTCAGAAAGTTACGAAAAATCCAAAAGTCCAAAATATTCAAAAAACCGAAAATCCGGATATTTCGAATTTTCTAAAATTTCTAAACGTTATCCGATATTTTTGAAATTCCGAAAATTCAAGAAAAACCCGATAAATCCTAGATTCTTCTGGTTTTATATTCTGAAATTCTGAAAGGCTCTATATGTATATTCTGAAACCCAAAAATTCTATAAATTTCAAAAACTCGAAAAAATCCATAAATTAAAAAAACCCAAGAATTCCAAAAAGTCCAAAAAATCCAAATACATAAAATTCGTAATTCCTAAAATTCACGAATTTCAAAAAATCAAAGAGTTCCATAAAACCAACATTTCCAAAAAGAAAAACCCGAAAAAAATCAAATATCTCCAAACCGAAATTTCCGAAAAACTAACCAAAATTTCTGAAATTTTCTGAAAGTTTCCAAAAATACGAAAACGTTCTTAAAATTCCAAAATTTTCAAAAAAAAATAATCCGAAAATTCCAGATCAAAAATTCCAGAAATATAATTCCTGGATGCTTTTAGAAATTGAAAAAGATAAATCAATCTCAAGCGCGATAACCAAATTTCAACGATGTGGTCGTGTAAAATATTCAGATATCACCTAACGCGTTGCTCAGCACAGAATCTACATTAGCCCTCTCCAAACCTCCCCGCCCATTCTCACCACTTTATTTAATATCCAATCACTTTCTATCAGTTACCCCACTCCAGTAAAAAAAAAGAAGTAAAACTTAATTTCCCAGAAACACATAAAAATCGGATTTCTCTATTTCTCTCCGAGATTTCTTCGGAAAACCCATAAAATAGTTTATTAGTATTTCATATTATTATGCATCGGGGGGAGAAAAAAACGTTGAGTCGAGGGAATCTGAGAATCAGAAAAGCCAAAGTGGAAGGGACGATCGGAATGCGACATTTACATTTTTCTCAGTTTCGACAACGGCTGAGCTGGATGTGGCATTTTTGGAGTTCTTTCTGAAATGGTGTCAAAATGAGAGGATTATCATAGATTTTAGAACTTACGGGATCGAGTGAATATGCCCGTCGGAAACTCGAATCGGAACAGAAACCACATCCCGAACAACTTTCCCATTGGCATCCACAAAGTTGGTTTTCAAAACTGGTCGAACTTTCAAGTTGACCTTTTCATCGCCAACGCTGGAGAACTTCTGAAAATTTCGATTTCTTCAAGCTTCATAATTCTGGAAAAACCTTGCGAATATCTTCTGGAGACAACGAAGTCGTTGGCTGACGAGTCACTTCTCCACTATTCTTGACTGGATCTTCGGTAGACGCAGTGATTGATTGCGTGATAATTGCTTTAGCTGCTGGTTTAGCAACTTTCTTGTTCTTTGTGAGAATTAATGGTTGATTGAAGATGTTGGCTTTTTCGGCGGCGATTGGTTGAGCCTGTAAAGTGTTAAGAGTTAAACAATATCAAAAATATCAGTTTCAAATTTGGAGAACAAACATTCAAACAATTCATCAGTAAACTGACCAAGTTTCGATATGTATTTGATCAATTTTGAGCTGAGTTATCGCTTATCTCATGAGAATTCTCAGAAAATTACGTCGTTCATCTTTGGACAATCATAACAATATCTAGACTTGAGGAATCGCTTTGAGAATTTCAGTAGCTTTGAATCAAACTTAAAATTATATTTCTACAGATTTTCATGCTTCCAAGATACTTATGTCTAAAGATTTGCTAATTTTCGTCAGTCCGGGGGATTATGAGCCACCCTGTATTTCGAAAATAAAAACTCACATGATGCGAGTTCATAGCTGCCATCATTCTGGATCTCAATTGCAAATTCGGTGGTGGCTCGACTCCAGAAACATCTCCATTTCCTCCATTTCCCACCTGCTTGGCTCTTTTCAGACCCTCTGGAGGTGGTAGAGAATTGACCAGGAAAACTAGAGAAATGAGAAAAAGAACAAAATATTTCATCGCAATCTGAGACAGTGATCTTGGCAGAAGTCGATTGGAGAGGGTTAGATGAGGGAGAAGAAGTCGTTTAAACAACACAACCAGTCTTTCTCGGATAAAAACGGGATTGGATAATTGGAGAAAAAAGAAAGAGGAGAGATAAGTGCGTTATGTCATAAACCCCCCTATCTCTCGGAACGGTTAGCCTGAGGGAAAAGGGCAATGTTTCAGAATTGAAGCCATACTGGAATGATTTCATTTAGTGGAAGTTTTAGGAAATATTTCAGCAAAGAAGCAATTTCGAATTATCAGCTGCAAGCCACTTTCAGAATGACTTCATAATTTCAAAAAACTTAAATTGGCTGTATCAAAAAAGTTCTTTGAATTCCAGAAATCGTGGTCAGTTTTAAATCTTAAAGATTTTTCTGGTAGCGGCGCAGCACCTCCAGCTTTGGGCCTCAAGTTCAACTTCTCGGGCGGCTTATATGATTGGAATTTCGAGAAAAATATTTTTCGTGTTTCGAAAGGGATCCCTTCTTTTAAACGACATCTTAATGTTCATACTAATCAGCAGAAAGACTTATCATAAATAATATCAAGCTTACTAGGATTAAATTTAGTATAGATCTCCGTCAGTCAATCTGTCAGGCGAAAGAGCAAGATTTTGTAGGGATTCCTGGTTTAAACAAAACGTTATTGATGTGTTATTGCCTCCTAATGGATTTCAGGGGAAAAACTGTAGAATATAAAGGAAGTATAATAAAAACTACAACAGGAGGCAACAAAACCGCCAACTTTGAGCCTATATATTTCGTTTCTTGTAGAAGATTTCAAAAAGTTGTAAATTGATAAAATATTTTTAATATTATGCACTTTGCCAGTTGATCACTTTTTGATATCTATCAAAAGAAGTAAGATATATATGGCTCGAAGTTAGCGGCTGGGAAGGCCTATGATTACGGTATTTGTGAAACACCTATAACCTTCTTGTTGGATTAGTGATTCCACAAACTCTGTTTTTAGATATCTTGAATTTTGAAGTCCTACATTTCTTAAAGTCTTAAATTCATTCAGAACTATTTTTTCGAAATTCGTGATCTCACTGACGATCCTCGAAATCCTTCACTTTTCCATTTTTCCAGAACATTCTGTTCGGATTCGATCTTCTCATTCTGGCGTCCATTTCATAGTCACTTTCCCCTGACAATCACTTTCTGTTTATTAGCATCTTCTTGTTCTTATCCCGAACGACGCCTTTTTCTTCTTATCCGTAAACTGGTCTTCTTATTCATTTCTATTCCCTTTTTCTTGCCCGAGACTCATGTTATTGTTGAAAGAAAGGGAGAAAAAGAAAATGAGAAGAAGGGGAAAAATATCATGTTGCGACAAATGAAGGAAGGAAAAAACAGAAGAAGCGAAGGAAGGTGGCAAACATGGAATAATGCTTCTGTTATTTTTTTTTTCTGTCTGCTGATGGAATGATTTTTGGACCAAAACAAACACATTTATGAGTTAAGGAAATGGTCTGGACCTCCAGAATATTGGAGCGTTTTTCCAGTTTTCAGATAGGACGTTGGGACCTATTATTCTCAAAACAAACCTCAACTCAATATTTTCAAAATTTTGAAAATTCTTTTGAGTTTTTTAAAGCCGAGCATCTGTCAGGTCAACTGAATCTCAAGGTTTTCAAATCTATCGTAATCCAGACGCAACTGAAAAGGGCGTTTTGAAGGAAACTTGATCCTTTCAGACTGGAAATTAGTTGATTTGTCTAGAAATAAGCCACTCGTACTGATGCTGTTTGGGACCTTGAAACGCTATAAAAAGGGAGACTAGAATCGAGTAGCCTTCGGATACCTAGAATCCAAGATCCTCAGAACCCAAGGTCCAGAATCCCGAAGAATGAAGTCTTAGTATCTAGCATTTTCAGGTTTCTGATATGCGGAAACTAAGGTTTTTAGACCTAGGGATTCTGGTATCATTACAAGGATACTTCGGATCTGGGATGCTTTTGATCTATGATCTTCACAGTCGGGGATGTTTAGGACTTGATATTTTCTGAATCAACTTTTCGACATTTTTTGAGCTCTAATCTAGGATCTGGATGATTCAGAATCCCAAATTGATAAAATGATCTGAAAGCGCGAAATTTTTGATAAACCTCATTATTTCGTTTTTCGCGTTTTCGAAATAAGTCAATTTTCGCACTCTCAGGAAATTCCTGAATTCCAAAATTTCCTAAATCAGAATATACGAAATTACCAAAACTTTGAAACCAGGAATTTTCGAAATTTTTCAAAAAGGCCATTTCGAACATCTCTGACTGTAGGATCTGTAGATACAGTACCGGTTTAAAGAGATGCAAAACTGAGCTTTTCAGTTGATTTCGGTCATTTTCAAGAGTCTGGAGTTCGGCTGTCAAGTGTCCAATCACTTTGAAAATTTTGGAGGGTGTAAAACAGACCTAGATTCAAAACTTTGCATTCACATACTTGTTAACAGTTTCCTAGTTTCCCAGCTATCTGCTGATATCGGAAAGACACCCCAGTTTTTTCCGATGTTGTACTGAAAATGTGAAAGGAATCAAGGGTCCTTCAGAAATCGGTAAAAAGCTGAAAAACTAGCGATTTTCAAAAAATGTTGCAAATGGAAAGTTTTGAATCTAGGTCTGTTTTACACCGTCCAATATTTTGTGTGATCCGACGCCTGAGACTCCTGAAAATGGCCAAAATCAGCTGATAAACACATTTTTGTGTATCTCATTGACCGGTACTGTATCTGCAAAATTTTTGAGCATCTCAAAATCTTGGAGCAATAACCAATGACTGGAAAACAGGATGAATCTAAAACCGTCAGAAATTAAGACTCTCCAATTTGGAACCCAATGATCCTACGATCTCTTTGGTATTCCGAACAACTTGATCTCCCGGGTGATGCATAACCTCATGCCCAAAAATTCTCACGATCCCGTGTTGCTCTTTCTAGAATTTTTTCCTCCCGCTTCTTCTTCTTTTTTTCTTCTTCCAGTCATCATCTTATATACATTCTCTGCGTCTCTTCCTCCTTCCCAATAATTTTCACTAATTTCTTCTCTCTTTTTTTTGTTCAACCATTTCTAGTTGTTACAAAAAGCTCAAAAACGTGGTGCTGCTCCAGAGAAGAGTCATCAGAAATTGTTTGAAGCATTCTTTTTTTTTCTTTCTTTTTAAAGAGATGACTCTAAAAATAGTGCTGTGAAAAAGAGAGAAGTCGGTGAACAAGAAAGTCTGGGAGGCAAAACGACCCATGTCTCTTTTTTATTTTTTGCTCTCGTCGTTTTTGCTAGTTGGCATTTTACTTTTTATTCGATTCACTTTATCGTAGAGAATAGAGAAGAGAGCTGCATTTCTTCTTCTTCTTTTTGCTCCATAATTACTAGGTCTTTTGTGTCACCACAATCTGCGCATGCCTTCTTTTTACTCCACAATTCTCCCGCCTTTTTTAGCTTATTATTTTATTTTTCTTAACAAAATAGCATCCATTCTGATGCATTCTTCCATTTCTTCTTACATGACTCATTATTTTTTAGAAGTGTTATTTTCCAGAAAATAGTTGGTAAAAATAGATGAAAACCTATGAATGACTTATAAATCCAAGTTTTGTCCCAGAACTCGAAATTTTGAGTTTTTAGAATTCCCGAAAAACAGCACCTGTCATTTTGAATCTATCGGAACCCTGAAATTCAAGAAAAATCTAGCTGTCCATTCGATTTTATCTCAAAACCTAAAATTTTCATGTCAAGCCTACCGTAGTCTTTTAAACGGAATTTGTAAGAAATGTGAGCTGAAAAAAAAGAAAAAATGCTTGGATCAGAAAAAAGGTTTTCTAGAACATTTGTAATTTAAAAATACCTTCAATCCTCCAATAGAAGGGCTCCCACTTTGTCAAGTTTAAGGTCAATTATTTCCACCTCTACGCGAGATATCAAAAATATATCGACTGTTAAAATATTAGTGATATTGTGATAAATATTTTATCAGTTGAACAGTTTTTGCTATCTTTTGAATGAACCGAGATAATTGGGCTCAAAGTTTAAAGTTATAATGCACTTCTATTAGAGGTTTTACGGTATCTTACAGACGATCGCCGAAAGTTCTTCGAATCTTTTTTAATTTACAATTGGAAATTTTCATAATAAAACATTTTTTATGATCAAAAATATTTCTAATTTAAAATATCAGAAAAAATTCGAAACAATGATGTACCATAAAATGAATGAAACTTTTCTCTGATGTTTTCAGTTATTAGGTTGGCGGGAAAGTCTTTGTCACTCTGTTTGTTTAATCACTGTTCTCGTATATGGAGGCTGTGTATGATATCGACTCTAGTGAATAACAAGGTGATAAGAACCTTCCATATAAACAAGTCCCCATCTCCTTCCCTGCTCCTCATCTGTAATTGAAACGATATGTTTGTTCCCACTGCTATTCACATCAGACATGTTTTGATTTACCTCTTCCTATCTCACACCACGATGAAGGATTCGGAAACTTTCTTGAAGAATGTGTACAACACACATGCCCCTCACTACAATACTATTCGCAATTGGTTCCATCGTTTCGAAAAAGATGACTTCTCGCTCGATGAAAAGGATCGCTCTGGGAGACCCCGTGAGTTGGATTTGGACAAGCTGAAGCACGCATTGCAATCGGATCCATTTCAATCTAGCCGTGAACTAGCTGTCACATTCGGAGTTCACCATAGCACAGTCCTTGAAGGTTTGAAGTCTCTTGGAATGAGAAAACTTTTTGGTCGATTCATACCTCATCACCTGACTCAAGCCAACCTTGACCGCCGAGTCGACGATTCGATTACTCTTCTCACTCTCCACGCGGGCGATCGATGGCTGGACCGGCTAATAACCGGAGATGAGAAGTGGGTCTTCTACGATAATCACCACAGGAAATCCCAGCGGGTTGGAGAAGGAGAGAGCCCACAGGATGTCCCAAAACCCGACCTTCTCCGAAAAAAGTTATGCTCTC